TATCCCTCTCCCTTTTTAAATGAAACTTTTTAAATGAAAAATCTCCCCCCTCAACGTTCAGGTAACTCTCAAGAGGAAAAAGTGTTTTTATGCAACTTTCCTAAAACTTAATTTCTGAGTGGTGATAACTTAGATGGGGTGCTTCTCCTGAAGAAACCGGAGTAGTTAGGGTAGAATAGATGATTAAATGGTATATTTTGTCCTTAAAAATCTATGAAATTTCTAGCTGTTATGTCAGCACAGCAGGAACCAGTGAAAAATGTCTACTTCAAAACAATATATATTCTTTTATACGTTGTATCTGATGAGTACACTGAAAATAACCAACATTATCTAACATTTCCACGCACTCCTAAATTGTCTTCTATGTTTGTAAAAAAAATGGTGTTATTTACACCTCTTTAATCCGGCAACCCTGTGAAAAAGGATATGCCGGATTAAAGATGTTGCTGGCCTAGGGAGGGTGCTGCAGAGTCTGGGTGTGAGAGGGATGGGAATGGAGTACTTACCTGACACCCTTCCTGGGTGCACATGTGGCTCCCCACCCCATGCCACTATGGGAGCAGCAGGGGAAGCGCGTTGCTGCTCTGCCATTCCCCCATCTGGAGGCAGGGAGAGCAGCAGCACATAGCTGCTTTCTCCTCCATACTGTGGGTGTTCCTGGATTTGGGACACCTAGAATGCGGAGGTTCCATTGTACTATAATCTTTCCATTTTGGACTGTCCATTGCCCTATGCTGGTTTGTCTCAAACCTTACTATATATGTAGCAAAACATAAACACATCCCTCTGCTATCGCTCATCCTGCAATCCGATCTGTAGCGATGGACCTCTGTGATTATGCAGACACTGACTGATTGGATGGAGATCCAGCTGCACAGATAAGACTGCAGAATCGAGACCTTAGCTTCTATTCATAGATATAAAGAAGATTTTTTTTCCTCTAGAGTTCCTGCCATTTTACACTCCACAGAATCTCAAAATCATTTTCACCACTTTTTTTTTGCAACATTTCCAGCATTCCACCTCCACTAGAACACATTGCTAGTGTTCCTTCCCCCCTCTGCCTAAAATAAAAAGTGCTTCGCAACAAAATGAAATGTTCTGGTTGTGAATAACAGGTATTCCTGTTAATACCTGTGATGTTCTGGTTGTGAATAACAGGTATTCCTGTTAATACCTGTGATGTTCTGGTTGTGAATAACAGGTATTCCTGTTAATACCTGTGATGTTCTGGTTGTGAATAACAGGTATTCCTGTTAATACCTGTGATGTTCTGGTTGTGAATAACAGGTATTAATAATTATGGTCCCTTATCAAAATCACACCCAAATTCAGGAAATAAAGTGGCTAATATGTGTACCTCTCAGGATTGCACATGTATACCTCCCATTAAATTTAACAGAACTTGTACACATGCATCAGTGAGAGAATAGTCCCTCTTTAGGTTCACAAACAATTAAGCAGCTCTGTTTTCCTCGGGTATGTATCCCCAGCTGTGATTAATGCTAATGGGAGTGATATGTGAGCATACAGAGAAGGAATGAAATGTGGTTAGGAATTAAAAATAGTTTATCAAATGCAGACAGAAATAATCAAATCCATTAAATGGCTCTATAGCCTGGAAGAGTAAAGAAACTGGACTTTTCACTTCTTACAATAATATATTAAAAGAAAATTTAATAAAACAATAAATGGTCCTGTAGCACTTTAGAGACTAACAAAAAAAAAGGACATTATCATGAGCTTTTGTGGGCACAACCCACTTCTTCAGATGAGTGGAGCAAGGGACAGAGAGAGGCAGCACAGAAAACCCAAAATATAAAGCAGGGAGAGGAGAAAAAAAATTGTCAGTTATAGTGTACATGCTAGATGAAGCTAATTGAGTGGGTTGTAAATGTCCAATACTTAGCTTTTGATGTCATTTGGGTGTTGACTATAATGGCCCATCCAGTTAATGTCTAAAAGAAAATTAAACTCTTAAAAATATAGTCTTAAAGTGGTAGCTTAGTTCTAAGCCTATTAATCCAAGACAATTCAGAGTTAAGGCCAACACCGTCTATTTGAGTCTATTTCAGATGCTGTAGACATTTGTTCAGTTGTGTAATTTCAAGCATCTAAACAGCCTCCATTGATTCTTCTCATTCAACACCTGTGAGGACAGCAGGACTTCTCCGATGCATGAAGTTATTCATGGGGACATTCTGAGGGTTGGGGGCCCTAAATTGTACATTATGGGTCAGTGTACTGCAGAATTCTCTCAAAGACCTAGGTACGGTATATGTAATGTCACCAAACTCCAGTTATTGGTGAGCAAGACTGAACCTGGGACCACTGGAACTAAACGTATGAGCCTCTAGTAAATGAGTTAAAATCCGTGTGACTATTAGCAAAGATTATAGCAGGCTCATCAGTCTCCAGCTGGGTTAGGTGCCACTAAAGGAGGACAGAATACCATGTGAAACACATATGGATTACACAGGCATTGCACTTGCAACAGTTTCCATTGTGGAATTACTATGCAGAGTTCATGGAAACAGCTTTCAGGTTAAACTAGCTGGACACAGCTGGAAAGCAGTGAAACACCTGATTTATTCCTCAGTCTTATTACATGTGTGTCCAATCCCTAGCATGATCCAAGTACTGGGGCTGCTATGTTGCTATCTCTAAAACTCATTCTGGGGTAACAACGTTACCAATGAAGGCAGCAAAATGTTCCTTGACACTGAATGCACAAACTATGCAAATGTAAGGCACTCTTGTAATTGGAAACCTCATTGAAAGATTCCGAAAAGCTCAATCAGATGATGATGTAGGGCTGTGTTTTGCAGCCTTTCAAGTGGGTGATTCGTTAATTGAAAATCAAAAACGGTCATGACTTCCTTCCATTTTACTATAAAATAAAAGTAAAAGATGCGTTGATAGTAAATCTGTGGGATTTACACAAGAGCAGAGCTGGTCAGAACATTTCCAACCAAATTTATTTTCATCTAAATATTCGTTTCATCAACACCAAAATGTTTCACAGAGGCATATTGATTTTGATGAAGTTTTCAGTGGAAAGGTTAGTGGGATCCAGGATGGACTCTTCTGATGACTTCTGAGAGAGAGATTGAACATGTGATCTTTTTGACTGCAAAATGGACATCTGGGCACAATTCATTTTTGCAACAACTTTAACTTTGTTTGTTTGTTTGTTTGTTTGTTTGTTTTCATTCCAATGCAGATCAAAAACAAAATGTCAGCACTTCCAAGTTGTTATGAAACAGAATGGGCATCCTCCAGTGAGCTCTGTTTGAAATGCGTGAGCCTCTAGTGCATGAGTACTGTAACTGTTCTGCAGAAGCAGCAAAGTTGGTTGCAATCCTGGTTGTGAAAAGTGCATTCACAATTTTCTTTTTAGAAGGCAAATTTCTACTCCAGCTTTTGCACCCCAGAAAGGCTAACCAACATTTTTTCTGCAGTAGTGCATGGTCTAGTCCTGCATCCATTTACACCAGTACTAGACTATGGGCCCAGATGGTAGTGTCTTGCTTTCCTGAATGAAGCTACATCTTTGATGGCATTGAAGGATCCCACATAGCAGAAGGATTGGATGTACTTTCACAAGAGGAATTAGAAAATGAGTGATACTTCATTTCTTTTCTCATTAAAACTCTATTTCCAATTGTCTGTGTTTCCTTCCTGAATACAGCTTAGCTTTATCACATTGGCAAATGTCTTGGGAGAGGAATTAAATTGGATGTCCTATTTTAGAAATAAAAACACAAAATGTAAGTGGTTTGGTAGAAGTTTTCACCTATGGGGGGGGATTTTATTTGTGATGTATGCCAGTCTTGCGTATTAATATCTCACCTCTCTGCTTTTCACTCATGTGTGTTTTGAAGAGCCAATGCTTTCAAAAATGGCTTCTAGTGATTTTGGGTGTCTCTAAAAAGAGCTGCACCCAAAAATTAACAGGATAGATTTTAAGAAAGTGCTGGATAGCTAGCCTCTGAAAAATCAAGACTTTTCACTGTGTCCCAAGTTTGGGACTCAAAATCAAGCACTCCTGAAAATCTCGTTTTAAGTATATTTATGTCTGGCATAATCTTTGAAGTTACATGTAACTAGCTGGTACCCATTAAAATTTCAGGCATGATCCGTGTTGCTTCTCTTTGGCTTCTCCCCTAACCCTCTCCTTGTTTCTGTCCTGTGAATGGATCATTCCTGAATGATGGCTACTCTATGATGCAGCGAGGGGAAGTAAAGTCACACAGAAAGGGCCAGCACCAAATCCTACAGCCTTTTCTCAGGCAAAACCCTCTTTGAAACTAATGGGCTCTGAACAAGGACAGAAGAGTTTGCCCCATGACTATTAGATCTACAGAAGACCAATGCATGTCATAAGAAATATGACCCTATGCACCTCTGTTGTGTTGTGGCTGCATGATAGGTTGAGTGTGTGAAAGGAGAAGCTGTGGGTGGGGTATGGTAAAGGGCTGTAGGAGTGTCCTTTGTTACTTAAGTCTTAAATACCTTTGCTGCCGCATGACATAATGTATGGAACACCTCTTTTTCTGGCTGATGGATGTGTATTAGGGAGCACTTATTAATAAAAAACTGCTATTCTCTTTGCCTGTTAGTCATGGATCATTGTATGCTGTTTTTCCTCCAGGTACTCTGGATAAATAGTTTTACATGAGGTCATTTGCTTTCCTGGTGGCACTTACTCTATGAGGTAACACAAGCAGGCAACGTGACATTGGCTATTGCTTGCTGGGGCAATGCTAAGATGCTGCATGAGTCAATCACTCTCTCCGGACTGCAGCATCCGTGTGCCATTTGGCAATTCTTTGCTTTGTTATTTGACTGATGCTGCACCAAAACTCGATGCAAGTAATTCTCCAACAAGCTACCAGAACCACTGAAAATAACAAAGCCCACTGAGCTAGCAGGCAGGGACGTACACTGCAGAAGTGCAGGTAGAAGAGTATTCAGAGACTCCGTCCATGGCTTACCTTTCAGGCTAAGCTCCTCGGCGACCCCTTCTGCCTTCGGAAGCACCAGATCCACAACTACTACCTTAGCACCTGCTTCCCCCAATGCATGAGCAAAGGCTCTTCCTATCCCCTGGCCTCCACCTGTTACGTAGGCCACTTTGCCATCCAAACGCAGGCGATCAAGGATGCGACATCTGTTGTGGCCCCAAAAGACGTCATCTTTCACCACTGCTTTCTGGAGCAAAATAGCACAATGCACTGAGGGTCAAAAGTCAGTTATCTTCAGCCCATTAGCCTTCCTTCCCCTCCCCCTCCCCATGAATGCTCAGGTGTATTGGGGGGAGGGGAAAGAAGCCAGGAGCTGTTTCTTGGCTTCCTGCCCCTTTACTTTGTTCAAGAAGGTGGGATTGAATCTCTTCGGTGAAACCCAAATGCCAGCAAGGCTAACTGCTCCCGAGGGGCTACAGAGGGGCCACACCAGAAGGCAAAATGGCTGCGCTGATGAAAACGTCAATGACTGCTCCAGTTACACAACTCTAGCCTGGCACGCTTCCCAGTGGATTCCCTTGCATGCCTGGGGGCAGTGTGAATGTCAAAGGCGTAACACCCCCAAACGACTCCAGTAGCAAAACCCCTCCACTGTGGCTATATCTGTGGCCGGCCTGAGCAAGTGGAGTTGGCCTCTCGGAGGCTAGCCTGAGGAGATGTTTTACAGCAGTGCCAATGGGGGAATGGGAGGCGACAGCTATCACGGGCCCCCAGGCGAGATGAGGGGGGCTTCAGGGGAAAGGGGCAGGGACAAAAGGGCAGGGCCAGGAGCAACCAGACCTTAGCGCCTCCCGGACTATGGTGTTACCCCTTCCCCCAGGCCTCAGAGCCATGCAGAACAGTGCTCCAGTGGTGATGTAAAGGGCCTGGGGTTCTGGTCGCTGCTGTTACTGTAGTAGCGGCCAGGAGTCCTGGGCCCCCTTTGAATTGCTGGGCTCTGGACAACTGCTTCCTTTATCCCTCCCTGTGTTCCCCCAACGCCTGAGTGCAGACGTTCAGGCTCGGGCTCTAGGTCCTGCAAGGTGGAGGGGGGGCGTTAAATCAAGGAACAGTGGGGGTGGGAAACTGGGTGCATGTTGCATATGGTAGGACGGGGAAGGAATGATTGTAATCAATGATATAGAGAAAACAGCCGGCTGCCCCTCAGCACATTATAATTTATGACATGCCTCACACTGATACTTGTAATTCTTACTCGTTAGGCAATTACTGAGAAAAGTGATGCATGCAGGATCCATTCTTCAAGAAGGATTGTCTCTCTACTGCGTAAAGTGAAAACAAAGGGTGACATCTTGGCCCTAGAGAAATTAATGGCATTTTTGCCTTTGACTTCAGTGGGCCAAGATTTCACCCATACTGCTTTAGGGGGAGAATATACACACCTTGGATTCCATCACAGCTGCAGGTGTGCAGCTCCATCGGATGACACTCATCCCATCTTCCACAGGTAAAATAATCTGGAAAAAACAGCAGTGTCCAAACCATTTCAGCTTCAGGGCACATCACTCTGGGCCTGAGCCAAAGTCCACTGGAGTAAGTGGAAGAGTCTTCTATGGATTCAAGTGAGCTTTTGGCTTGGCTGGGTATTATAGTGGTTTTCCTCTTTGCATGCTGTTCCCTGGACTGTAAAGTCCCTTTCTATCCCAGGCTGACAGTCCTCCATCTTGCCTAAGATTCCCATTCAAGACTGACTACTTTCACAAAGGCTAGATCCATAAAAATGCCGAAATGTCTTCCAGTGTTATAAACAAGACACCACCTCTGAGACTTTCAGTGTATCTGATTTTGATTGTCTCATGAGATTTTAAGTTCTTTGAGACTCCCTAGCAAGAACATTGTTGGAACTTAATAATAATGACTTTGAATCCTCTCTGGATAATCTTGCCTACTACCCTTTGTGTACTTCTGTATGTAACATGCATTTGACCCTCCCAACCCTACGAGGTGTGTGCCTGAACTAGTGCCTTGTCCGGATGGCAACCATACCTTAATGAAAATGACACATCATTTTGGAGACCCAATGCCACTATCCAAACACAAGAAAATAAGATGTGCTGTGACTTAGTGGCTAAGAGTAGAATTCGGGGCCTGAGCAGATAAAGTGTCAAAGACCCCCTTCTGCAGTTGAAGGCATCTGTTCTTGATGACAAAAAAGATCACAACCATTCACAGAATGAACCATTTGGATCTAGTAAATCAGTAAATTTGTAAATAGCAAATAAGTGTTTCACAGGGTGAATAACATAGGCTAAGTCTACACTGCAGAGCTATTTTGGGATTGCACAAATATCCCGAAATAGCTATTCCACATCTTTTGAACAAGCCCATTTTTTCAAAATAATGGGCTCACTATTCCAACATCCCTGTAAACCTCGTTCCATGAGGAGTAAGGGACGTTTTGGAATAGTGCTCTATTTTGAGATTAACTCAAAATAAGCTGCACAATTTGCATAGCTTATTTCAAGCTGTGGGTGCAGAGTAGATGCACCCATGACGACTCTTTTTTGCTCCTCTGCTAGAACTGACAAAAATACATTTTATAGCAAGGCCCTTACTATAAGGACTAGACAGCATGAGTGAGTCAGACTACATCCAGGAGTCTTATAAAACAATACTGCTGAAAGCAATTTCACAGATACTTACAATACCAATATAACCGTATAGCACTAACCTGCTCCACACGAGGATCTGAATTAATTACAGTATTTAATTTCCTGACAGCTAATACATTTTCATCAGATACGTTCTCCAGGTAGACTTGTCCTTTCATGAGAGTGTTCTCCACACAGATCACTCCATCCATTCTCAGCAAGTGGTTATCCATGACAAAGTGGTAGTCGTTAACAGCATTTCTTTGATCAGCATCAATAAAAACTATATCAAAGTGTTCGCCCACAGCCACTAACTCCTGGAGGGGGGGAAAAATGAGGTGAAAGGAAAAATGCGCTGGTACCATGTAGGTGGAGGGTCTTATAAAATGAACCATCTTCCATACAAAACACATGAAAAACGCCTAACAGAAAACATTGCTTTAAAGTCATATTCCTAATCAAAGGTCATTTTGGCTTGAAAGCAACCTTTTGATTTACAGCGAGCCAAGTAGAACTGGTTGAGATGCTTTTGTCTATAGGCTGACTATCTACACACTATCTAGCCACACAGATAGGTCAAGGCCTTTGAATTCCCCCTAACAGGGCCAGTGCTCACATCTGTGTGAACAACCGAACCCTCGGTGATTTAATACCTCATAAAGCACCACATTTCCAGCTGGTGATGGATGCATGCGGTACAAGTCAGAGGAAATACAAATCAAGATCACTTACACTGGCTCTGAGGCACATCTGTGTCTCCTCTCTGTGGGATATGTCAACCTTTATATTGAGTACATTTTAAAAGTTGCACGCAGCAGGGAATATCTGGTGGGACTGTCACACATGTTCAGTGTTGACCTAATTCTGCTCCCATTGATGTCAACAGGAGTTTTACTATGGACTTCAATGGCAGCAAAGTTAAGCAGGTGCTGAAAGCTTTTGAAAATCCCGCTTGTAATTTCTACTCATAAAGACTCATTACAATGAAGTAACATACAATACAAAAATATTTTGAAGACAATTAAAAGAACCCCTCATGAATCAAAGGCACAAGGTTAGCAAGGGAGTCTACCACAATACTTCCAAGCACCCAAGTCTACGTTCCTTTGTTCTCTCTCTATACCATTATGCACCCACTAGCTGTGGTTTGGTACGTGGACAGATCAGGAGACTGCTGCTGAACATCAACCCCAGGCTAAGTCACCGGCTTGGTGGCTTATGAAATTAAGACTGTAAGTCTGGTTCCTGGTGAGTTTGTGGACCTCTCACAGAAATGTCCACCGTTAGTGCAACTAATTGTCCCCCTCATTGGCATTGTAGCAAATTGGACAAGCAACTAAATGAATTTATGATGAATTAATCACTCTGTAGGGATGACACATCTCTAAGGGCCACAGGTGCGGAAGTTCAAAAAGCTTTATAGAATCATAAAATAATAGAAATGGAAGGAAGCTCAAGAGGTCCTCTGCACTCTGCACTTCCGGCAGGACTAAACTCTGTCCCGATCATCCCTGCTAGATATACACGCTCTTATTTGACTTGTCTGTACACTAAGTGGACTTAATCTTTTTAATCTGTCTCCACATGGAACTATCTCTGGACCCTTTCTCTTTCCACCCTGTTTCTTTTTTCAGATGGGTGAACACAAGGTGAGGGCGGACAACTGATGTATAGAATAGCACTAGAACACCTTTAGCGTTATTTTCTATCCTTTTCTTTCGATAGCCTTCCATTGTATTTTGATCGGCACTGTACACTGAGCAGATATTTGCTCTGAGCTCTCCACAGGACCTTGGGCTGTTTTCCTGAGCTTATTCAGTCATTTGTGGATAACAACATGTGAGAGTAGTTAAAATTATATGTTCTAATGCACATCACCTTGCACTTGTCAGCAAAAGAGTTCATCTGCCATCATGCTGCTCAGTTGTCTAGCTCAGGTAGGTCCCCCTTGATTTAGCCACAATCACAGAATCATAGGGCTGGAAGAGACCTCAGGAGTCCAGCCCCCTGCCCAAAGCAGGACCAATCCCAACTAAATCAACCCAGCCAGGGGTTTGTCAAGCCAGGACTTAAAAACCTCTAGGGATGGAGATTCCACCAATTCCCTAGGTAACCCATTCCAGTACTTTACTACCCTCCTAAGCTATGTCTAGACTGCAAGCCTCTTTCGAAAGAGAGCGTCTAGACTGCACGTTGAACTTTCGAAAAAAGCGGCTTGCTTTTTCGAAAGAAAGCATCCAGTGAGTCTGGATGCTCTCTTTCGAAGAAGCCCTATTTACATTGAAGAACGCCTTCTTTCGAAAGAGGAACTTTCGAAAGAAGGTGGTCTTCCTCGTGAAATGAGGTTTACCGCCATCGAAAGAAAAGCTGCGTTCTTTCAATTTAATTTCGAAAGAACGTGGCTGCAGTCTAGACGCAGGGGAGGTTTTTTCGAAAAAAAGCTACTTTTTTCGAAAAACCCCCTGAGTCTGGACACAGCCCTAGTGAAATAGTTTTTCCTAATATCCAGCCTAGACCTCCCCCACTGTAACTTGGGGGAGGAATAGAAGAAGGTGAAACAACCTGAATAGAGAGCCATTACATGTAAGTTTTGTGGCTTTCAGCTACAGCACAGCCACCTACACATATTGCATGTAAGAGTCAAATACTCAGGACCAGATGGCACACACCTAAAAGCGAGGAATAAATTTAACAGCAAAGCAGTGGAATTGCAACCCGAAATATGCAATCTCGTTAAAGTGAAGCGATTATTCCAGAGGATGCCACTGATGAGTATGACATATAACAGGGTTATTTGTTGACCAGGTGGGCAGTGTTATAGATTACCTGTGTGGTGTTTGATGCCCTCTCTGCCCTGAAAGCTGCTCTGGGACATTCAGAATTCCATCTGGGAGGATTCTGTTGGCAGCTGCATGTGTTTCAACAATGCCCCACTGCATCCATGTACCTAGAGCAGATGTAAAGTCTTTCAAGCCTGGTCATTTAGAGTAGAAGAAGACTAATGATGTTGCCCTGGACTGGCTGTTTCTACCCCAGTAAATCTTAACAGCATGTCTTATCTCCAGCTTTTTCTTTGTCATGTTAAGGCTTTGGGCAAAATGAGGAAGAGTGATCTCCGGTGATGTATGAAAGGAAGAATTAACCTTAGTAACAAATGACTTTGGAGTATGAAGTATTGTCATATCCTTCTGAAACACGTAGTAAGGTTCATGACTTCTAACAGAGGTTTCTGAAATTCTTCTAAAATGGTGATTCGGACCAAGAAGCATGTATTCATGGTAAGAAAATGTGGGGAATTAGATAACTGTAGAGCAGATGGATGGGTTATGAAAGCTCAATGCACTGTGGTCTGGTCAGAGGCCGGGAAGATAAGCCTGACTGTAGCATGGAGAGACATAGTATCGGTAAGGCACTTAGATAGCACCGAGTAGTCTACCAGAGACATACACGAGCATGCATTTATGACACTGTTTACTGATGAGATATAACCAAATCTTACAACCAAATCTCAGCTCTTTTGCAATAAATCCTTCAGAACTGGGTCACCTAGTTTTCTAGAGCTGATCTTGCTATCTCAGAACTACTAAGAGACTTCACTTAGGCCAACATGATGGAAGGTTTGCAGGAGGCTAGGATGGGCTTTGTTATTTTGGGAAAGTATCTCATTTTGTTTAACCTTGTTACTGTGTAGCCAAGCTGTGAGGTTCAGGAAATCAAGGTAGGGATGCAGGAGAAATCTTTGGGATAAGAGTTTGCTGGGAGGATGAGTTGGAAGTCTGTTGAAAATTCCACTAGATCTGAGAACCACAGACAGTTTGTGTTGACTAGAATGGCCATTGTTTTCGCCTTTTTGATTTTTCAAATTATCCTTCCTGCTACGGGAGGAAGACACGCAGAAGCGGATTTGGCCCTCTCTAAGCTAGAACATCTGTTCCCGATAATTTCTGGTCTGTTGCCCTAGTGAAGAAATGGCTTGTTTGGCATGTTAGCACTGGATTAGGTCCACCTGGGGATCAGCTAGATTTCTTCATGATTCAGACACACATCTGAGATCATGGCCTGCTGATAACTTACCTGTGTTGTGATCCCTTTCATGGGGAATGACCTGCCGGACTCTAAGCAGCATTCCACTTGGCAGAGGATCCACGTCACAAAGCGGTAGACTTTGACACCCTAGGCCCATTTATGCTCATTTACAAAAAGGCCATCACACGAGATGGCTAATCCAGGATGTGCTCCTTTCTTACCTGATTCTCCAAGCCTTAAGCCCTAGGTTTGAGATGACCAGAAGTCTCTCGTCATGACCACATTCCCTGTGCATGGAGGTGCCACATGACAGACTGGCTAAGGCTGGTTAGAATGAAGGGGTCTTTATTGTGAAGCAAGATTCCTGCCCTCGCATGATCATCCTGTTTCCACTAGCTTAAGGACAGGCAGGATTTATGGGGCCCTATGCAGTACTATTAAACTGGTGTCCCTTTGCCTGATGGCAGGTGGGGGGATGACAGTTTTTTAGAGATGTGATTTTAAAACTTGGAGCAGTACACTAATGAAATTTTAAACTAAGATCCTGTTGACTAACACAGTAAGGTCAGGAACTGGCAGTATATACACATGCCTGATAAATGGCTTCATTACCACTTGAATGGCTTTTTCAAGTCTTCTTCCTCTCCCTGTTCTGTGATTGGGTGGACATTAAGACCCAGCGGTGCTCCAAATTTGCGGGTGCCCTAACATGACTGCATATTCTGCGTCTGGATGAGGATGGTCCTGGGGACAGGTAGTAGTAACCTTCCCTCATGCTTTAGTCCAGCGAAATCCATGAAATTCCCTCCCCTCCATCCTTCCCTGTGGTGTCATCTCTGGGCAGGCCATCAGAAGACACGGGAGCTGGCAGTAAAGGTGCACGGGTAACACCTTCCTTTGTGGCACCATGACTCTGTCCCTGGATTTCCCTGATGGTTTTCTGTCTGGGGAGGCTGTGGCCCTGCTGGTCTCTGAGGATGCTTTGGAGGGCACCAGAGGATGCAAAGGTTGCAACAAGCTACCTAGTCTCTCATCCCCTCCCACAGGCAGAGTGGAGTAAGATCCAGGGAGCAGCTGTGACCAATATCTCCTGATAGACATCCTTTGTCTTGCTCTATTTGGGCAGGTTTAAAGAGAGAGATGCAGTTTAGTGGGAGCCCTGGTTGGGGAGCAAAGTACACAAAATATTGGTACTATCAAGGAGAGGACGGGGGGATTCTGGTCAATGCTATCCACGGAAGAAGCTTTTAAAATATGGACGTGCAATGGGTAGAATGGGTGTGTTTTGATTAGACCACCGGAGACAACAGCTGGCCCATCAAGTGCCCAACATTCAGGTTGCGGTGGGGAGGGATAGCTCCATGGTTTGAGCATTGGCCTGCTAAACTCAAGGTTGTGAGTTCAATCCCTGAGGGGGCCATTTAGCAATCAGGGGCAAATCTGTCAGGGATGGTACTTGGTCTTGCTGTGAGAGCACAGGACTGGATGGACTTAATGATCTTTCAAGGTCCCTTCAGTTCTATGAGATAGGTATATCTCCATATATTTGTTTTTATTATATAATAAACCAGGCCCCCGAGGGCTGTCTGACCCCTCTCTATTATTTACGGGAAGAGAAGAGCGGAGATCCAGGAAGAATTCAGCTGTCTGCAAAATGTGCTGCTGAGTCTACTTGGGAATAATTCCTGTGCAATCTCCATCCCTTTGCGATGGAAGCATCAAGAAAAATTGTCTTAATCCAGGGTCAGCATGGCTGTAAATATAACTTTTTCTTACCGCACATAACTATTTCTCTTTACAACAATCTCAGAACTGTGTGGTACATTGAAAGTATAGTGGAAGACAACACGTTAAAGAGCGTGGTCGTGGCAAAGAGCAGAGACAAGACTCCCTGAATGAGCAAATGAATGAATCCTCTGGCAAGTTTTATTTAAAACCTGATGTAGTTGTGATTGCAACCACCACTCACAACAGGTACCTGCAGACTCACTCAACAGAATGACTGTCCACTCTCTTTCATATGAATCGTACAGTCAGTGTATTCTAATAAAGATAAACTCAAAACTCATTACCTTTGATATGCCTTGTTCTTGACCTAAATGTAATAGTAATATTTCCTTAGGGTACATGATATACATGAAAAAGTTCAGCTTCCTTTTAAAACACCATTAGAATATTTTACTGTATGTGGACATACACTCTGGTTACTCCTAAATGCTATTCTATTGAGTACAGTTTATATTCACTGGCAAAGCTAAATCTCAGGGGAAGCCAGAGAGGGAATGCAATTTCTAGTAATAACAGCTCACAACAGTGAATACTATCCACTTATCCCCACAATTTCCAGCTATTTTGGACTCCTTTCTGAATTAACCTTTCATATCAAAAGGAGCAATTCTGCACACTAGAGACTCCGACACAATTTCATGCATAATTTATTCACTCAGTTCAACATTAAACGCAGAGTCCTTGACTTTGTCAAGGTGGATTCTGTTGGCAGACTTCACAAGCAGCAAAACAGGAGAAATGAGATCTGCAACTCAACCTATTCACCTACTCTTTCTGGTAAAAAGGGGGTGGAGGGTGAACTCTACATGCTTGCACAATGCCCTGCCATCAACACGATCTTCTGCAAGCACATTTTTGCTGTTGTGGTTTAGACTTTGAAATGGAAACAACACAATAACAAACTTGACTAATGTCCCTTGCACTTTGCATTCTCATCGGGCCTGATCCTGCATTCTTTGTTCAACAAAAAAACTCCCTGCACAAGTCAATAGGGGCTTGTCTACACTACAGAGAAGATGCTGCTGATGCTGCTGCAGTCGATCTTCCAGCGTTCGAATTAGCGGGTCTAGTGAAGTCATGCTAATTCAAGCTGAGAGGGCGCCACCATGGGTGCCAGTAGACCTGCTCCTACGAGGATTAAGGGAATTCAAAAGGAGAGTGTGTTCCCGTCAACTTCTCACTGTGTGGATGGCGCCAAGATACAATTTAAGATACTTTGACTCCAGCTACATTATTAACATAGCTGGAGTTATGTATCTTAATTCAAACTTATCTCCTAGTGTAGACCTAGCCTATGAGTTTTGTGTACAGGATTGGGCTTGTTACGAGCGTATGCCTTGCAAATGGGTGAAGACATGTTATTCAGACAAAAAAAAACCTCCTATGTGTGGTAGGCTAATGGATTTGAGGTCCTCTGTGTAGCATCCTTGAATTTAGCAGGGCTCTGCCATAGAAGAGAACATTTGGACTCAGCTTTTTATCCCCTTATTTTTTTAAGATCAGAAAGGACCATTACATCATCTAGTCTGACCTCTTGCACACCTAACCCACTCCCTGTTCTTTACTAAATTGGATTTTTTTAATGAAAAAATAAATACTAGTCATTACTACTGTACCTCTTAAACAGGTTTTTCCCCATGTACATAAAAACGGCTATACTGGATCAGACCAATGGCCCATCTAGCCCAGTATTCTGATCTTCTGACAGTGGCCAATGACAGATGTTTCAATGTTTCAAACAAAACAGGGAAATTATCAAATGACCCAACCCATCATTCAGTACCAGCATTAGGGACAACACAGCATGATACTGCTCCCCTGACCATCTGGGCTAATGGCCACCAATGGTCTTATCCTCCTTGTTCTTATCTAATCCTTTTTTTAATCCAGTATTGTTTAACCTTCACAGCATCCCCAGATAAGGAGTTCCACAGGTTGTAGTTAATCTAACAAAATTCCCATCTACCAACAGAGGCTGCAACATGAGCTGGATCACTATGACAAAATATCTATTGACTTCAGAGGAGCAGGGTCAAGTGCGGATACAATAATTCTTCAATAAGGAATCCACGGTTGTGTGGCAATAAACATGTCTTACCAAACACTGAACACTTTCAACTCCCACTACCTTATATGGGAGTTCAAGGCATTGAGCCTCTTACAGGATTATGCTTGAAATATTCTTTTGGTAGTTGCGGATAAGAAGCAACGTGAAAATATAAAATCAATGGCAGAATTATGTTTCAAGGATTTAATTTTCACTCCCATCCTGGTACCTTCTTTAATCGCTACACAGCAGGTACCACTCCTGCCTCTGGATATTTTAATTCAGTCACAGTAAGTCAGTTGCATAGAACGAGCACTAGAGAGCAACAGCAATTCAATTAATTTCACACTCCCTGCAGGGAGCAAGGATTTTAAACACCGCTCATTGCAGGTGATCTGCATCATTGTGTGTCCCAGGTGTATGTCAAAGCTCTCTCTTTCTTTCCTACCAAATGCATAGGTCACAAAAGCCAGAGGTCAAAGAGCTCCTGGCCATTTAATTTTAGAAACAAACACAGTCCCTGCTAATGCAAATAATGTGACAGCTGAGCCCACACTTTCAGACTGAAGAGGATATTCGTATGAAGTGACTGGCATTAGTACTAAAAACACCCCTTGCTTAATGAGGTCTACTGTGGGTCAGTGGCAGAAATAGAACCATCAGCGCCAAAAGTTTGTGTAGCTACTTCTTCCAATAAAGGAACTACCTCTTCCAATAAAGTCTACTACTCCATTCAAAGCTATGAGTGGTAGATTTTACTCTTCTATGAGACTAACCAATGGACAAGGCAAAACCTCTCACTACCATGAAACATAATGCTCTGGAAGTGAGAAATGTGAGACACCCCAATTGGGGCAACAGTAGGAAAATATCTAGAGATTATCACCAAAGCAAAGACCACTTCCGCTACAGCATTTAGTCCATCAGCTATAAGTTGTCCCGGATGGCTAGTCTCCATGAGGTCACTCACAGAGTGCCACTTGTATACTTTGACCCTGTATTGCTTTGGGAATCATAAGTTCTGACCCAAAGTCCATGGAAGTCAGTAGAAAGGTTTCAGTTAACTTCTAAGGGCCTGATCCAAAGTCCACTGAATAGAGAGATGAATTGTTCTCCTGATTAGAACGTTTCAACTCTTTTAGATGGGGAATAGAAACAATACCATGTGATTTAGTGGTTTAGTCTCACACCAGGAATAATAAACTGCCCCATCTAAATAGCTGAAATGAACAGTTCATGAACAATCCATAGAGTCAACTTTGATTGCATATGACATGGAAATCAGGATAAATCAACAAACGACCAGTGAATAGGAAATAGGTCTACATTTATTTGCAACAAATACCACAACCAGCTCTAAAATGGCACCCCTTCCTGGAGATTGGGATCACTTCAGCCAGGAAATGTCTTTTTGTTCTGTCGTTGTGTACCGCCTAGCACAATGGGATGCTGGCCTATGGCTGTGGCTCTTAGATATTACGGCAATACAAATAACGAATACTAAATAATAATAACGATAAGTGAGTTTACCTCCAAAGTGTCTGCAATTGGTCCCACTTTCACACTTATCTTTTTAGCATGAGATGAGTAATCAGACGCTTCCTGGCTTTTCCCTCCAAGATATGGCTCTACTGAACATGCAGTTATTTTTCCATCATCTGGCAATGCCTCTGACAGAGCAAGGATACTGTAACCTTTAAGCCTGCCAATTAATAAAATCCTCTTGGCTCCAACCATATGAACAAACATCCTGAGAACTTGGCCTATTCAAATAATAGAATACACAGTAAAAAATAACCACATTCAAGACAATACATTTTACATGGTTCACAATGAAAATTAAATCTAACTTCTAAGCGATCATCATTTAAAAAAAAAATCACATCTTAAAACACTTTAGAATAAGGGTTTTAACAACAGAATCTGACAGCATCTCATCTAAAATGCTGCTAACTACAACAGAATAAAGGTACTGAGTTTTAAATGTAGAGTCTTTATCATCAATGCTGGTATTGTTTAAGTGCTTGTTAAATAGTGCTTGAAATATTGCATATTTTAACATTCCCCCCAGAAGAAAATGGCTTTAAGATGTCTCCTGTATTCTTTCTGGGACCAGGTTAAAAAAAAATCACATTACCTTGCATTTGCTCTTAGAGTCATTATCCCTAGACAGCACCATCATTTAAGAAATTTATCATCGGCTCTGTCCTCTGAACAATGTATTAGTGTAATACATTACAAGAGTGCTTTGCTGCGATGATGTATCACAGAAAAGATGGCAACATCTGGGAAGAATGAGTCCAGGAATAGATTTAGTGCAATGGCTTTGCACGTGAACACAACCCCAAGTGTCATTAGTTTGGAAAGGACCAATATTTGCCACGCTGCAAGCACACTTACACAACCTCTGCCCAAATGCCATTTTTTAGAAAGATGCCCTTCAGCTCATTAATCTGATCTCTTTATTATTTGTGAATGAGGCAGGGCAGGTTTGAAAACTGGATTTTCAAGAAAAAATGAAGAAGAATCAAACTGTGGAGAAAACTCTCATTTAATTTTGTTTTTACCCTGCACCCCAATCGCTTGCACATGTCCAAACTACGTCCCTCTGTCGAAAGAGGGATGTAAAGTAGGCAAATGGAAAGTGCAAATTAAGCTTTCGAAAGTCAAAGCGCTGTCTAGATGCGGTTCTTTTGAAACCCACCCCCAAAAAAGCGCTCAGACACCATTATGCAAATGAAGTGTGGGATATTTAAATCCCTGCTTCATTTGCGCTTTCGATTTGCCTAATTTACATCCCTCTTTCGACAGAGTAGTTGCCCACCCACACCATAGAAACTCTCTCTCCAAGATACACGGAGACAAACAACATGGTCTTACAGGCAACTGGCATTCAGAGCTTGTATCATTTAATTATGGTTCATGCTGATGGACTTGCCTTTTAGATAGCCAGAGGTATATTCTTTATGAGGTGTAGCTTTTGCTTCAAGTGAGGCAGTTCTAAAAAAGGAAACAATCAGTTCAGTGTTACTGTCTTATACAACATCTGCAAATCCTACATATGAAAGGGCATGAGACAAAACATGGAATGATATGCAAGAACATCGGGGCCCGGAAGAACAACTGGTACCCTGAGACAGGGGCTGGAACAGCTAGCATAGTGGGGGTGCAGAGAATCATTGAACCAAACTGTAAACCCTGTATTGCATGGAAATTCCTTCAAAGCAGGAGATGCGTCAGCACTCCTATTTCCATCATCCATGTACCCTAACTACAAGCATCCCTAGAGGGTTTTGTAGCAGGCAAAGAGCTTTATAGGAAGATGACTAAACTGTTCTGCTGCAGAACGTTCTGGAAGCTCCAATGTTCCACGAGTCACAGAAACCATGGGAATCAATCGAACTGTAGGAGAACACAACCTCCCCAGGCATGAGGTAGTCGGTTGCCATGGCTTGCATAAAACAGAACTGCTGTAAAGGAAACAAGATCCCTCATTGAGAGCTGATAGGTGCTAACCCCTCCCTGCCCCCACCCCCACTGTTCTTGCCATACTGTATCTGTGACCTCCATGGAACATTGCGCTCCTGAGCTGGCACCTCCAGTTCAGAGCTACTGCCTTCAGAAGGCTCAGTTCCTTGAGGATGGAGCTCATGTAACCCTCTCCCTCTAGCTAGGGAAGAACCCACCGGCTATGAGGAGATTCCCTGATCATCATCTTGTGTGTGGCCAGGCATTATTTCAGAGTGTTAGTTGAAAGGAACTTAAATTTCTTACGGGTACAGTCCTATTGCATCCTGGGTCTGTGCCAGCTCTTTAAATAGCTCCCTGCTGGCTGTTGCCGCAGCTCAGCCAGCTCTTGCTGGACCTGCGCCCCAGAGCGCACCTGCTTCCTTTCACCTCTGCTGTTCACACAGTGCAGGCTGATCAGACTGGGCTAAATAAGGGTATGTCTACCCAGCAGTTAATCACCCTGGCCTGTGTCAGCTGATTTGGGTTTGTGAGGCTCTGGCTATGGGACTGTTAAACTGCTATGCAGATATTCAGGCTTGGATTGGATGCTGGGAGTAGGAAAGCTCTGCTTTAGGATGAAGACAGCCTGGGATATTGACAGGCGGGACCAAGAGCCTGGCCAGGTTCCTGGGCCAGGCAGCGGGGATCCTGCTCCGTGCCCCCAGAAGGGATGGGGCCTTGGGCAGACAGGGCAGAGGCAGGACTAGGCAGCCCTTAGTACTGCCTAGAGAGTGCCACACCTCCCTGCTTCCCCAATTCTCTCTGCTGCCCAGAGTGCACTGGCGGACATTGTACTCGGGCAGCAATTTAAAAGGTCCGGGGCTCAGACGACTGCCAAGAGAGGCCGTGGCAGCCAGGACCTCCGGGCCCTTTGGAATCACTGGGCCCCAGAGCAGTTGGCACCTTTACTCCCCCATGTCGGCGGGCCTGGATACTGAAGAGAAAAGATACCAGACAGTTGAGATGCCTCATCTGAGGAGAACAGCCACAACAGGAGGCCCGTGATGCTTCTGCAGGCCAGAATTTTAAGCTCCTGGAGCTATTTTTGCTCTACTCCCTTCCTTCCACACACCCCCTCCCCACCAACCTTCAGTAAAATGAGAAAGAATTCATAACCCATATCAGACACACTCAGATAATCCAAGCCTTGAAGAGCTGAACATTTCATATAACCTCTTTTCTGCCCCTCACAAATGCTTTAACAACTTTAATAAGATAATGTATAGCTATTATCATACAGCTCGCGTAAGTCAAACAACTATCAGCTATTATTTCAGCAACAGAACTAATGCTCAGCATTCCTGTAATCCGCAGACTGGAACAGTTTACACATTGTCAATTTCAGAAAGAACTGGCTTTTTCCACATATCAGAAATTTACGCTGATAGATGAGAGCTGTTTAGCAGACCCTATACACCCAGGTAATATGCTGCAGCTCAAAGAGGAATAATGAGGGTATCAATTGGACTTCTGAATTAATGATACCTAAAATTAGTTTAATTAATTAGTTTAGTTACTAGAATAATTTAGTTAGCAGCATAATTAATATTTGTAAAGCACTTTTGTGATAAAAGCTTGAAAGCATACAAAGGCAGTCCCTTAACATGCTTTACATAGAAAGTTCATCTGTGTTTACTCCTACCTAGAAGCAGCAAATAGAGAACAGCATTTTAAAAAGAACGATGGCTGCATTAGAGCAGGATTTCCAGTGTTGAGGATTGTTAAAAACATAGAATCACAGAACACAAGAACTGGAAGGGACCTCAAGAGATCATCAAGTTCAGTCCCCTGCCCTCACAGCAGGACCAAGCACTGTCTATATCATCCCTGATAGATGTCTGTTTAACCTGCTTTTGAGTATCTCCAGAGATGGAGATTCCACAACCTCCCTAGGCAATTTATTCCAGTGTTTAACCACCCTGACAGTTAGGAAGTTTTTTCTAATGTCCCACCTAAATCTCCCTTGCTCCCATGGTTTGTTCTTCTTATTAGTGGTTGAATCCTCACATTCCTTCCTAGGCCTCTACACTCCATGGCTACATCTAGACTGGCAAGATTTTGCGCAAAAGCAGCCACTTTTGCGCAAAATCTTGCCGCCTGTCTACACTGGCCACGAGAATTTGCACAAGAACACTGACTTTCTACTGTACAAAATCAGTGGTTCTTGCACAAATACTCCAATGCTCCCACTCAGGGATAAGCCCTCTTGCGCAAGTATTCTTGCACAAGAGGGCCAGTGTAGACAGCTAAGTTAATTTCTTGTGCAAGAAAGTCCGATGGCTAAAATGGCCATTGGAGCTTTCTTGCGCAAGAGCGCGTGCGTCTACACTGCCACGAATGCTTTTGCACAAAAGTTGTCTTTTGCACAAAAGCATTCATGCCAGTATAGACGCTCTCTTGTGCAAATACTTTTAACGGAAAAACTTTTCCATTAAAAGTATTTGCGCAAAATCTTGCCAGTCTAGACGCAGCCCATGTGGGTGGATCCCTGTGCCTGGTCTGAGCCCAGAAAAGTCCATATGAAGGTCACGACAGGACTGGGGCCTTAGCTAGTAACAAGGTGTTTTGCTAAGTCCTTACTCAGACAAACTCCATGGCTACGTCTACACTGGCCCCTTTTTCGGAAGGGGCATGCTAATTTTGAAAGTGGGAATAGGGAAATCCGCGGGGGATTTAAATATCCCCCGCGGATTTAAATAAACATGTCCGCCACTTTTTTTCCGGCTTGGGGAAAAGCCGGAAAAAAAGCGTCTAGACTGGCCCGATCCTCCGGAATAAAGCCCTATTCCGGAGGATCTCTTATTCCTACTTTGAAGTTCTTTGAAGTAGGAATAAGAGATCCTCCGGAATAAGGCTTTATTCCGGAGGATTGGGCCAGTCTAGACGCTTTTTTTCCGGCTTTTCCCCAAGCCGGAAAAAAAGCAGCGGACATGTTTATTTAAATCCGCGGGGGATATTTAAATCCCCCGCGGATTTCCCTATTCCCACTTTCAAAATTAGCATGCCCCTTCCGAAAAAGGGGCCAGTGTAGACGTAGCCCATGATTTTTATAGTAACAGACAAGAATTAGGCCCCTTCTTTCTTGGTTCTTGGTAAACCATTCAAAAAATCATAGCACTTTGGCTTTTAAATGAATTCTAAAAGAGAAGACGACAGTTAAATAGGGTGCGTATACTGAATCTACCAAGGCAATCAGTGGATTCTCTTCTGTTGACTTCTTCAAAGCAAGACTGGATACCTTTCTGAAAGACACGCACTCATCAGACATGAGTGACGGGTCTCATTATGGGTAATTGGATCACATTCTATTGCTTGTAGTATACACAGGATCTATTTTATTCGGGTTCTTATGCTGTGCTTATTGGCACAGTATCTGAGCATCTACCCTGGGTCATTAAGGAACATGGCTAATACCTGTCTTATGTTTGTTTTCTCATCCTGTTCTCAGAGGGAGATGTGTTCAGACTGGCGTGTTTAGGTTTGGATTTTGGAATGTACCAGTTTTGTGTGTGTGTGTGTGTGTGTGTGTGTGTGTGTGTGTGTGTGTGTGTTTTCACACACCCATACATGCACACATAGATCCTCATTGCTGTTTGTTTGTTAATGTTACAGAAGGCAAGGTTAAAACATATGCCTTCTACACCTAATGGAAGGTGGTGAAGTTAGTAATGGCTCTTAGTTCCTGTGAGAACGTATTCCATAGTCTTGGGACAGCCCTGAGACCTTAAAATCTATGGCAGAGGTGGGGGTCCTTTTTTGGGTCAGGGGCCACTGATCCAAACAAGAATCAGTTGGGTGCCACACACAACTAAAAAGCAAAAAACCAACCCACTGATGTGGCCCCCAACTGAGGAGAAAGGCACTCCCCACATTCCCCTCGCACACCAGAGCCTAGGGAGGCCCAGCCTAGAAGATTATGTGTGCGCCAGCCCCTTGGAATACCAGTGTGGGCTCCCCTGAGCCTCAGGGGGCTGGATCCAGGCAAGCCAGGGGCTGGAGGTTCCCCACCCCAATCTGTGGGTTTAGGGATCAGACCCTGAGAAAAACGCCCATGGTAACAAATGAATCGCCTTACTTCTTTCCAGTCACCATTGTGTCCAAATACGGGTCCAGTCCAACAGCAACAGCCAGCGCTTTCTGCAAATAATGCTTTAGTTGTTCAGGAACATGAGGGTTGCTCAGTGCTATTTCTCTGGCTTTCCTAAGGTTCTCAGCAACGAGCCCCATTGGGGTTTCTGAAAGAGTAAAACAAAAAGGAAGCACATTTCCAACTGAACATGGCAGTAAGTGGTACAGTGATTTTGTGACTGCTTTGTGATTCATGGTTGCCAGGGAATGTAGAAATCAGAACGAGTAGATTTTTTTTTTTTTTATTTAAACATTTGTTCCAAATGAAAAATGTTTTTTTTTTAGTAAAATGAAAATGTGTACTTTTTTGAAAAAACAAAGAAAGGTTTTGGGCGTTTGCCAATTGCTGTGTCTCCCTCCCCACTTTCCAGTGGAAAAATGGAGGGTGGGAAGGAAGGTGGATGACAAGATGAACACTTTTGTGTTTTTGAAACCAGGAATCAAATTTTGTTTTTTGACTACATGAAAATAAAATAAAATAATTCCATAAAAAAAAATCAGACTAAGTTAAAAGCACTCATTTTGATTGAAAATATTAATGGAAAATACATAGAATTTTTCAACTTGTTCTTGTAGAAATCAAGAGCTTCTGCTCCAAAACATGCAGGACCAGACCCTCTCACCTGACTTAAAACAGAATCTTCATTAATGGTAGAAATGGCCATTAAAGGGCATGTGATATGCTCATTACCCACTGGTTAGTATGTATTTACTGGGCTCATTCTGTGCCTAATTTAAGGAGACAGAGTCCATTATAGCTCCAGCTAGGAAGACTTGACTTTTTAGTTTGTGTGTCTAGCTCCAAAAGTCCTGGTTCAATCCCTGTGTGCTGGCCAAAATGTATTTGTCACACACACACACACACACACACGCTCTCTCTCTCTCGGGACTGACATTCCATCTGGCACAGTGCAACGGTGTAAGTTACAATCAGAAAAAGTTTGTCTTGAAGCATTTGGGACTGATGCGTTGCAACACAATGCGACTCATCGCTGTGGCGCCTCCTGCTGGCCACGCAGGAATTAGCACCACTCAGTGCTGGAGTGACCCCTTCTGGCTGGTGTCTGATCTGTTACCCGTTTGCGTTAATGGATCAGTCACCTTACATTAGAACCTGCATCCTTTCAAGACCATGGTGTCCTCCCTTCTCAATATTGCCCTGATGCAGTCTCCCCACACTCTGGGGTCCTCCCTTTCATCGAACCCCCAGTCCTCTATACTCACCTTACCTCAGGGCAGGGCCAGACGGAGGCATGGGCGAGCTGGACTGAGTGTTTTCCTCCACTCCAGGAGCCCTTATTCATACTGCCCCAGCTGGCCCTTAATTATCTGCTGCTTTCTGCTCCCTAGACTGGTTTGAACCCTTGTAGGGCCAATGCGGGGCAGACACCCTGTCACATGCGTGTTCAAAATGAACATGCTGGCACTGGTCCTTGGTTGCATGGTGAGAGCTGGTCATTCTCCCTGGTCATGAATTTTTAACAAAGCTGGTTGTTTGTTTGTTTGTTTGTTTGTTTACAGGGAGAGAGACTGACTGCAGCTTGGTGCCCAGGGTACTGTCATGGGATGTGGAAGAACTAGATTCAAGTCTGTGCTCCAAATTCGGAAGTTGACCCCCCTCCCCCCCCCCCTTACCACAGGACAGCCTTAAGTACTGAGCTGCTGGCTCTCTGGAGTCTCCCTTTCTCTGTGTTGGTGTAGGAATGCTATCATGAATTGCACATATACACTCAGGCTGTGTCCAGACTGGCATGATTTTGCGCAAAAGCAGCCACTTTTGCACAAAATCTTGCCGCCTGTCTACACTGCTACACTGGCCGCGAGTATTTGCGCAAGAACACTGACTTTGTAATGTACAAAATCAGTGGTTCTTGCGCAAATACTCTGACCATCCCGCTCAGGGATAAGCCCTCTTGCGCAAGTATTCTTGCGCAAGAGGGCCAGTGTAGACAGCCATGTTAATTTCTTGCACAAGAAAGCCCGATGGCTAAAATGGCCATTGGGCTTTCTTGTGCAAGAGAGAGTCTACACTGGCACGGATGCTTTTGCACAAAAGCAAATCATTTGCGCAAAGGCACATGCCAGTGTAGATGCTCTCTTGCGCAAATACTTTTAACGGAAAAACTTTTCCGTTAAAAGTATTTGCGCAAAATCATGCCAGTCTAGACGCAGCCTCAAGGTTATGGCCCTGCGAGGTGCCCCACAGTCTGCATGGGAATGAGACACCCCACTGCCCTCTCAAGACCAACCACGAATTGTTGCTAAGGAACTAGAGATAGCGCCCCCCTTCCACGAGCCCAACTTGCTAATTTACCAAAGATATATTATAAACAATTGCTGCTGCGTACCTTACTTTGTTTTGTTTTTTGCTTTATACCCCTACACAAGCACCTATGGACCACACCCATCACCTATCGGGAATGCACTGTTACTACTCCTACGCAGCCCGCTTGGAATGTAGCTATGCCTTGCACTTCTTGGGGTGGGGAGACATGATTATACTTGTGTTTAGCAATTGTGTTAACCTGAGCCGTGGGCGGAGTTACTGTGTAAGCTTTTAGACTTTTGGCTTATTGGCTCATGATATCTTGCTGCTAGAACCTATTTAGAAGCTTGGAGACGCCCCTCCCTATTGTTTCCCTCCGCCCATCAGCTCCCTTTATAGTGTCTTGTAATCATTTACTTGGCAGTGTTTGCCGAGCAAGGTGGCACTCCGCCAGCGCTCTGTGTAATAAACCTTCTTGCTTGATTCTCCGCGCGTGGCACTCCGCCAGCGCTCTGTGTAATAAACCTTCTTGCTTGCTTCTCCGCTGTGTCTACATTTTTGGTTTCCAACACTTGGATTGTGCAAAAAGGGTCTTTGCTTTGTCTTGCTGAGAAATGAGAAACACTTCTGGAATCTCAAACCTCCTCACCAGTGGGGAAAACCTTTTTCTGTACTACTGTCGACGAACTAGACTACAGCACAAAACTCAGCACCTCCTGCTTCAAAAACAGCTATGAAGCACTGTAGTATTCGGGCTTCCGTCTGCAAGAGTAAGCCATCAAAAGGGACTGAACGTGGACACTGATTTACAAAGCCGGGGGTTCCACCACTTGAGCTAAAGAACCACTTCTATCAGATTAGTCCCAGTAGCAGACTCACACCTCTCTACCTGATCAAGGACTATAGCTGCCCTGCATCTCAGCGTGAGCCTCCCAGGCCAGGTCCCACAGACTTGTGCAATTTCATGCTAATGCACTAAAAATAGCTGAGTAGGCCTTGCTACGCCAGATGGCATCAAGCTTTCAAATCCATGGGAAGGAGGCCCTTGAGAATCCAAGCCACAGTGTCAAAGCATCATCTAGACAGCGATCGTTTGTGCACCTGTGCGAACCCTTTTGAGACAACTCTGCGGGCCTGGGCGGGGAAACTCACTCTCAGTGGAGAGGTGCCCCAGGAGACAAAGAGCCACTCAGAGGTCTTTTTCATGAACCTGCCATAGGTGCGGACTCTGTTGCTGCTCTGGGGTTAGAGCACTCACAGAACAAAAATAGAGGGTGTTCACCACCTACCAATCACAGCTGTTCAGGGAAGAGCTTGAGGGAGAGCAGAGACCAGGAGCAGGAGTCTCTGAAAGAGTGCAGAGTGTGGGCGGGAAGAGGCAGAGTGAGGGCAGAGCCATAGGGGAAAAAATAAAGGGGGGGGCAGAGTTTTGGGGTAGCATGCGGGTGGAAAGGTAAAAAATTCAGGCACCAGTAGATGAGATGGCTTCAATGACATTTCTTCAGGTAAAGAGAAATGGTGCCCCACACACACACGTCACACCAGCCAGGATAGGGTGTTTACCTGGGGAGGGCAGGGTGGCAGGTTCTAGTCCTGCCCACCCAGGGAGAGGCGGGATACCCAACACACAGTGTGCCTCGGTGGAAAGCGGGGAAAAAAGAGCACCCGCACAGGACATTTCCCCTAGCGGCTCACTCAAGGTGACAAGCTGCAACGTCTTCACATGTGGCACATGGAAAATGTTCTTGCTGACAGCTTCTAGTGCCACACAGTGAAAAATCAAGTGGCGGTGGGGAGGGAATAAAAATGCTACTGAACAGCAGCTTTACAATCCACTATAACAACAGATTCCATTCAGCAGATTTCTTCCCGTCACCACGCCCGCCATGCTGTGAAAGGATCTGACAACAGCCATTTCAGGCCAGGACAAATCAAGTGGTTTTGAATCGAAGTGGGATGGGGCAGGTTTCTTGAATAGCAATGCTGTCGTCTCTTTGCGGTAGAGGAGCTGCTACCAACACCGCAGTTGCCAAAATGATGCCCGAAGGCCTGATAAGCAGTGCAGCCTGTAGGGAGTCTGTGCCCAATGGCCACATCCCCACACACTCTCACAGGGGAGAGTTGTTTCCTCAGCAACGAGTGCTAGGAGGCGTGTAATGGAACTGCCAGGATATGGCTTCACCAGCTGCCTCACAAGCCATGTCTGAGGAGAGGGTGAGGGCAAGGCACAGGGGCCAGCGAGCCAGGCACAGAATAACCTGGCTGCAGGATTCCATTGGCCCTGATGACTAAAGAGTGTTCATAGGAACAGCTCGTAGGCTTGAGGCTTGAGAAGGGTCCAGGCTCTTTGGATAGGAAGTGAGGTCAGGAATGGGAGCTTCCTTTGGTTCTCCCACACTGTAACCCCACTTCCCACAAGGAGCACTGGATGGGCAGGAAGATGGGTAAGCCATTTTTGGAGTGCCCTCTAGTTGTCTGGGGACGTTGGGAACAGACCCCTTTGGCCTTGTGGCTAATCCTCCACTGCCAAGGGTGAGCCGTTCCAGTATCCTGTCTCTGTAGCTGTAATACCTGTTCAATATGGATGATCAAGCTGCACATTAGATCTCTTCTGGACCTCTAATCTTTAGAGACTGGCTTAATACCCGAAGCATGAGATCTAACATCCCTTGCAAAATATTTATCATTAATTATGATAACTTTGCATATCTATAGAAATATCTAATCCCTTTTTGAATCTTACTCAACTCTCAACCCCAACAACTTCTTGTGGCAATGAGTTCTGTAGTCCAATTAGACTTTTGATAACAACAAGTAGTTCTGTGGCATATTAGAGACTAA